TGGGGTGCCTGGGTGGCTCAGTCAGTTGAGCGTCCTTTGGTTCAGGTCATGATCTCACAGTTTGTGGGTTCGAGCCCCACATCGGGCTCTGTGCTGACAGCTCAGAGCCTGGAGCCTGCTTTGGACTCTGTGTCTCCTTCTCTCTGCCCCTCCCCTGCTTACGCTCCCTCTCTATCTCTCAAAAATAAATAAACATAAAAAAAATTTTTTTTAAATTATGATTTGCCCTTAATCGCCTTTCATGAAAGGCAAAGGAAGTTGCTCTTTGTGTCACTTGAGGTTCCAAGCTAATGAAAGCAGGAAAAGGAGTCCTGCGGCCAGCTGGAGGGCCCCAGGAAGGGATGCCCTGGCCCTGGGAGCAAAGCCTCTGTGCCCAGGTGGCCAGCAGCCCCAGGCTTCATCCTCAGATCCCTGTGGACTTGGTCCTGGTGCAGGAGGCCAAGTTCTCAGGCTCTCTTGGGCTGTGATGACTTCTTTTCATTGACATTAATCAAACTCGAAACCAAACCTCAAGAGGAGAAATGGAGCACGTGTAGGTTACCCCTGGTGGCAGGCTGGCTGGCCCAAGCCTTCAGCAAAGTGTTAACATTTATGATGTGTGAGCTGGGGTGGCAGTGGCAGGACAGATCCCAAAAGCTGGACCCACTGCTGCCTCTGCCTTGCTTGAAACCTTCGGTGCTTCACAATGACCTTGAAATAAAATTCACTCCTGGAGCCTCACATGCCCTGCCTGACGTGGTTCCTGCCTTCCTGTCTCACCTGGTGGGCGCCTGCCCTCACCTCTCTTGCCCATGCAGCCGAGTGTGTGGATTCTAGAGTGGTCTCTGGGGCTGGACTGCCCACTCCAGGATCCTGCCTCTGGCACTTCCTAGCTGTGCAACCCTGGTCCCAGGCCAGCCGGCTAACCTCTCTGCACCTGTCTCCTTTCCTGTCCGCTGGGACAATCACGGCTCCCGCATTGTAAGGTTGTTTTGAGGACTCAGTGAGCAAATACTAGTGAATCACTGCAATGGTATCTGGCACACAGGGGTGTGTCTGCTACGGTGATTGCTTCCGTGTGCAAGATTACAGCGTTGGAGGCACATGTTGTAAGCTGTCTGCCACTAGACACACGGAAAGTGTGTCTGCAAGATCCTGCGTTTAGTGGGGAGAGGTCGGTGGGTCCGAAAGCCTCTTCTCATCGATGGTGGCTGCCCGCCCAGAGCTCCTCCTCATCATGGCTCCGGGGCCACCGAGACTGGCAGTTAAATCAAGTCTTCGATAACTGATGTTCCCCCTCGAACCCTTCCTGCGTTTATCCCCCTAAAGAGATGGATGGCTGCGCGTCAGCGGCTCGGCTGCTCTCACTGCTTTAACGTGACAGCGATGATTTGAAGCCACAGCTTAAAAGGATATTGGGCAATAAAAGGAAGCTTTCTGTGGATTATGGCTGACGATGTTTTCCGAGTTTCTGTGTCTCTCTGAATGCTTGTGGTGGCTGGAACCGCTGCGTCCGGCTGTGTGGCTTCTGCCTGACAGGCATTTTCTGTCTGTGACACTATTCCTGACCTGAGCAGCTGACCTCCTTTCTCCCACTGGACCCACACGACACAAAAACCAGCTCCCTGGGACTCACCGGTGCTTCCGGGGTGGGAAACAGGCTACAGTGAGTTGGAACCATAGAGCCTCCCCCTGCTCCCGACACCTGAAGTCACCAGACTGGGGTTTGGGAGCCCAGGTGAAAGGTGCCATCACAGCTGCCCATCCCAGGCCACCTGCTGTGGCCATCAGCTCAATGCCTCCTTTCCCCTTGGGGACCTACTTCCTTGACCACATCATCCTTTAACTGTTGATCCTGCCTTGTCCACCTAATGGGTTTAAATGACCGCAGGCGTGATGTGTGACTCTGATGGGTCCTGCTTCCTTTTCTTTTCCCAGACTCCTGGGTGTTTGGGCGGTGGGCCCTCTTCTCTCCTGATCTTCTTCTCTCTGAGCTGGCAGAGAAGGGCGGGCTCAGGGGAACCTCATGAAAGCAGCGACATCACGCTCCCTGGGGAAACAGTTTCTCTCCCCAGTGAGTAAATGGGAGCAGTAATATCACGGTCACAGATTGCTGTGAGGATTTAAATGAGGCAATATTGGTGAAAACACCTGGAACAGCGCTTGTTACAGGTTTTCATCACAACCTACTCCAAAGGCATTCCACCTCTACTGGTGAACTCCAGCCCTGGCTGGAACTGGGTGGAAGGGAGGCTGGGGTGGGGTAGGGGGGGCTGCAGACCCTCTGGTACCTCACCATGCACGGGCCGTTCTCACCTGGACCAGCAGCATCTCATCATTTGGGAGCCTGCCCAGAGCTGCTGGACCAGGGTCTGCATTTTTTAAAAAAATGCTTTTATTTAGTTGTGAGAGAGAGGGTTGGGGAGGAGGGGCAGAGAGGGAGACAGAGTCCCAAGCGGGCTCTGAGCTGTTGGCCCAGAGTCCAATGCAGGGCTCGATGTCACAAACTGTGAGATCACGACCTGAGCTGAAATCAAGGGTGGGATGCTTAACTGGTTGAGCCACCCAGGAACCCCCAGGATCTGCATTTTAACAAGAATCCTGGGAATTTCCTTGCTCACACTGCAGCGGGGGTGCGGGGGGCGGGGAGCGCTGCTCTCACTGACCCTTCCATTTCTTCCTTAACATGTAGACCCTGGCTCTAGTCCCTGGACTATGGCAACGTTCAGAGAAGGTAGTTTCGAATAGAACGTTTCCTAAGCTCTAAACGGTAACTTAGAGGAACAGGTAATATATATTTGCTTTTGCATTAAATGCAATTTAGTTGCATTAAATGGGCTACACAAACATTCCCAAGTATTCTAATAAAAATCCTTAACCCAGTAAAAGGTTTTTAAAGCAGATGTGTACTGAGCTTGGTGGGACAGGGAACACCAGGAATCTAAAGAGCATTCCCAGGCAGCAAGCTCCCAGAGCTGGAAGGAGGTATCTGAGCCGGAAAAGAAGAGAGAGAAGGCAGAGGACGGAGAGGAGGGAGGCTGGGCTTCCCAATGCCCCACCTCCCCTCACGTGGACAGGAGGGACACGGGGGGAGTAGGTGGTGTTACTGGTGCCTAAAAACGGGAGCTCTGTTAGAATCCTTTCCAGCAGCCAGCCCTGCTTTTTACGGTAGCATCGATTCCTGTGTTTATCAGTTCCCCAGTGCAGCATAAAGGATAGAGATTTTGCCTTGCCTGTCTTCTAACTTCCTATTTTAAACATCAATCTCCAAGTGGAATTCTGATTTCTACAGACTCAGAATCTTCACCCTGAAAGGCTTTGGGCCTCTGCTTTTCGGAAAAAGTTGCCCAAACTTGGTAAACCAAGAAAACGAAAAACAGCATAAACCCTTTGCCATTCTTCAGGTTTGAAGGGAGGGTTTTACCTGAATCCTTCTTTACAGACAGTACATTTCTCTGGTTCATCAACACACTTCCTACAGCTTGGGTGGCATTTAAGGCAATTTTTCTGACCTGGAGAAAAATGAGGAGAAGAGAAGGAGAAAAATAGATGTGAATCGAATCTGGGCAAAGAGGACTCTGGCATTTCAAAGCAGGGTTGCTGGCATAGCTCGTCACCGGTGTCAGCTTCCAGGAGGGATGATGGAGTAATAAAATAGCCAGGGCAGGCCCAGGTGTGGGATCAGAGGCCTCTCACCTCTCCTTTCTGGAGTAAATTAAAGTCCTTACACCATTCTGAGGCTTTGGAGTGGGCCCTTGGCAGAGGAGACATCGTCTGCTTCTGTTTATTTCAACAAGGACTAGAGCCAGTTCCTGGCTGACCAAGCTTGAGATTAATTAGGTGCCAGTCTTTATATATATCTATATCTATATCTATATCTATATCTATATCTATATCTATATCTATATCTATCTATATCTATGTATATATATAAGAAAGTGACAGGATGGAGCCTGAAGAGGCCTGGGAGCCCTGCTGGTGCCTTCACAGGGGACTTTATTGAAACTTGGCAGTTACGTACACCAAGAAATAAATCTACGATGCCCATCCCACCTCCTGGGGAAACGCTGGGTCTCCATGACTCCCATGTGCTTTTCCCTAAGTTATTATCTGGTCTTTCCCTCTGGCATCTCATCAACGCCACCTGGCGTTGTGCCTGGACACTAAGGGCTGCTTGCTGCCCTCTGTGCCTCCTCCTCAGGGCCCCGCACGTGGTATTACACACTCACTCAGACACACACACACACGCACGCGCGCACGCACGCACGTGTGCACGCGCAGCAGCAGCAGGTGTTCAGGGGAGATGCTGGGTCAGTAAGGGTGGCTGATTCTTGTCTTGGAAGCAGGGTGGGGATGAAGGAAACTCCACCCTGAAAGCAGGTCTGGCTGGCAGCCCAGGGCAGGTGTTTGTAAAGGCTGTGAAACACATCTTGCAAGACTATTTGTTTTTCCTCTAAAGAGATTCTGGTTATTCGATGGCTTTATTTGTCTTTAAAGATTTCCTGGCTCCTTCTCCATAGGAGGAACACTAATGCCGTCACAGCCTGGATCAATGAACACCCCTGCCTGGCAAGGGCCTCTGTGGGAAGGCTTCCACCTGCAAATTGCCAATGTCAAAACAGTAGCTTCTTTGAACTTGAGGACTATCCTCCATCAATTTAACCCAGACCCTGTCTTTTGTCTCTTCTGGGGCAAGGTGAGTTGGTGACACACTGGCATGGGTCACGAGCCCCAGATCCCCCCACCCATCTGCAAGACCAGGAGAGCACCCCCACTCACTGCTGAGTTCAAGTTCCACCTGTGCCATTACTAGCTGTGAGCGTTTTGCCACCTCTCAGCTTTGTTTCCCCATCCTCAAGACCAGGAGAGCACCCCCATCTCTTAGGGGTGTGGTCACTACCTGTAAAATGGGCCACCAAGACTAACCCGTTTCTTCTGGGCCCAATTAACACTGGCCAGTAGGCTCCTCTGGGTTTTTGGAGGACTGAAAACCTTCTGCCCAAACTTGAATCCTGATTTCAGCTCAGCAGTTCTTCCGAGGAGGGGCTTTCCCCCAATTTTGACTACCCAGTCCATAAGCTGGTGCTGGATTCCCTGGGAAAATTCTCCCAGGAGAAGGGACCCCAGCCCTGAGCGGGGGTGAGGGGAGGGGGAGAGGGACTGACTCATCACTTCTACGCACACAGACATGCACTTACTTTCATCGGCATAAAATCCGGCAGGACAGAATGTCACACAGGTGTTCATCTCCTGATGGTGATAGAACCCACGGCGGCAGGACAGGCACTGGGTTGGGCTCCTGCCCGAGCAGGTCTCACACCCCTTGTAGCACCGGCGACAGCGTCTCGCTGCTGTGTCCCCAAAGTAGCCTGGAGGGCACGTGTTCACGCATTTCCTGTGGGAGCAGAAGCCACAGAGGGCCTTTGCAACTCAGCCCTGCATGGCCCTTGGAGCCTGCAGCACCGCCAGGTCCTGCTGAGGCAGGATAGCTAGCTGGGGAGCAAATCCCAGCCACCCCTCTGCACCCCCAGCTTAGCAAAACTCTCAGGGAGCCAAGGCCTGGGGGTGAAGGTTAAACCATTAATGCCCATCATCCTGGTGAACACAGCTGAGAGATTCCTAAGTACCCAGGAGAGGATCCAGGACTTGGACAAGAACCCAGGAATCCTTTGTTTCAAAGTCTCAGTGGCACCTGGATGATGGTATTCGACTTTTGGAATTTTGAGCTCTGCCAGAATGTCACCGATGGTGCCCTTCGAGAGTTAGACTCACTGGACAATGCATAAAGGCATCAGGCTGGCTGCCTGTGTACTGTGCAGGGAACGTGTGGCTGTGTCTGGGAGCTCAAGCACACCAGGAGAGACACGCCCGCAGCCCTGCATGGCTGCACCATTGCTGGGGCCCCTGGTGGCCATGTGTCCCACCTTGTGTGGTTGCACCGCTGACTGGACACCTGGGGCTGGGAGCTCTCCAGGCACGGCCCACAGGGCTGACTTTCAGAACAGTGCTGGCCTCTAACATGGCATTTGTCTATAGTTCCCAAGTGGTCAGTCTTGGGATGCTCAGTCTGACCAATCTTTGTTTAACAAAATGGGTACAAAATGGTTTATAAGCACAGATACCACAATGACACAGTTTCTGATTTCATGAATTACTTTGTGATGAGGACCAGAAGTTACTAATATGTACGAAATTCCAAAGCAGTAAACCTCAATGTGATTTCCTTTTTGGGGTTTTACATTGATTCATAAGTAGGGTACTAGGCTGCCGGGGGCTGAGACAGCTTGAATCAGGTCACCTTAGCGGTATGCCGAGGAACTCCAGGACATGTGATCAGAAGTCCCAGCCCATTACCTGCTGGTCTTGGCACTCCCCAGGCTGAAGTGGACACAGTTCAAGCACTGGTCTGCATTGGGGCCATCACAGCCTTTGTCACCACACTCCGGATGGCACACACCTTAAAGACATAAGCATTTCCTTTCACCCAGAGAGATGCTTTGTCAACCAAATGCAGTCCCCTAAGACCCTGAGTCAGGTTGTCACAGCCTAGGTGGGTCAGGATTAGCTTCCCTAGAGAGTGGTGGATCTGCTGGGGCTGGACGGCAGGACCTCAGCTGGACAGAGTGCCCACCCCTATGGCAATCTGGCTACGGCTGAGAGCTGAGCCTAGCTCTCAAATGGGGCAGCCTGAGAAGGAAAACAGCCAGCAGTAGGTGGGGACCCAGACCCACAAAAAGACGAGCACTGTGAGATACCAGGAGAGAGGCTGGTGGTGCCTTCTTCGGGGCATTCCTCTGCAACAGGGTCATGATGCTGGCACCAGCCATCTCTCTAGATTCCTGACGTGAAGGACAAAGCAAGGCAATATGGGGCATCAAAGGCATCAGGGAAACTGCTGCCAAGCGGTGAGGATCATGGAAAGGATGGGAGAGACGATTCACTACATGCACTGGTGGGAATAGGATGGATCTGCAAGCCCAGGACCGCTGTGTGGGGCTGTCCCGGGGCGGGGCTGAGCTGGCCTGGGCTGTTCCTGGGCGGGGCTGAGCTGGGTGGGGCTGTCCCTGGGTGGAGCTGGTCTGGGTGGGGCTGCCCCTGGGTGGGCATGGGTTGGGCTGGGCCTTTCTCTGCAAACCTTTTTGCTTCCCTCCCTCTCCTCCAAGTCCCCTACCATCCCCAAATTCTGACTCTGGGGGCCTGTGTGTTGTTGGAAAAGTGTTGGAGAGAAATGTAGGGAGCTCAGTGGACTCTAGCAAGCCTCACTCTTGCAGGTGGTCTGCCCTGCAGGTGGGCCACACAGATGAGCCCAGTTAGAAATGTCTAGTGCCCTCAGGCCGGGGTGGGGCAGGTCCACAGATGTCCCCTTCGCCTGGCCTGAAGGACATGACCACATCATGCTGAAGACCAGCACTATGGTGGGACCGCCTGCCCGCCTCGTCCCTCACCCTCCTACTCTGGGCAATGGTTCCAGAAAACTGCCCCATGTGGGGAGGTGCCCAGTGGGGTATTACAAAGGCTTTAGAGTCTTTAGAAGAAAAAAGCCTTCTGTAAGGTTTGAGTTGTTGGAAGGGGTGGGGAGTGAGTTCAGAAGCAAAGAAGAGGTGATTTGCTGGCCACCAGCATTTCATGGGGATGCAGGCACAGACAAAAGTCCCCATTCTCTGTTGCCCACAATGGGTCTTTGCTGAGGTACACAAAGCCCTCTTCATTCGTCCTTAAAGGGCCTGCGGACCTTCCTAGTGTTAGACCCAGTTTATTTTGCTTCCCTCCCTGAAGGTTTACTGTTGTTGATATTTCCAAAGTTTTCATTGTGGGTTCAGCTGTGAACCCCTTTCAAAGCTGAGCTTGTCCCTGGGAATACACTGGTCTGGGCTGGGGAGGGCTCTGTTGCGGGTAGAGTTCTAGTGCACGGCCTGACATGCACAAAGCTTATCATGGAGGCTACCCTCACCCCGCCCCCTTCCCCAGCTCCAGACTGTCAGGCTATTTTGCAGTCAGTTCTCATTTGATTTGATTCTTGTCCACCTCATTCCGGGCCATTTCCAGATTTCCAAGCAAATCCTTGCTTCCTGGCACGTTGTTTTTCAATTACCCACTGCGCAGAAGACACCTATGAGTTTGGCCACTGGGCTCTGACCTTCCACCCAGCCCGAGCCGTGGGGGCCTCAGGATACACCACCATGAGGACCATCTGCCTTCTGTAGTGGTTTCTCCCCAAGGCCAATGGAGGCAGGAGGTCTGTCTTACTTGATTAAGTAAACAGTTTCTTTAATCTTAAGGAGGTTTGGGGGGGGGACAGGGAAGAGACAGACCAATTTCCCTACTCTCTCCCAGCACGGGAGACAGAAGCTTCAAGAGGCTGGATCTGGACTAGGGTGTTTATTGCTATATTCCCAGCACCTAGAAAGGTGTCTGGCATAGGGCAGGTGCCAACTAAATATTTGCTGAGAAGCTGAAGGGTAGGAGAATGGATGAAAGAAATATGGGTGGAAATTGGGAAAGTGCAGGTAACCTCACCATCCACAAACAGAACAGTCTAGGACGTACCAAGAGAGGGATAGCCTTGGGAGAAGGCCTGGTTCACGGCATGTGGACTTCACCTTCCTCCTCCCTCCTGGGGCCTCTTTGTGGTGGAGAAGTTAGTTAATAACCCCAAGGGAGCTCCACACAAGGCTGGGGTCCCCCTAACAGTAACAGCAAAACCTCATCAGGGCATCTGGCTAACCAGCCGTGTCCGGCCCCAGTGAAGAGTGTGGTAAGATACTGTCCAAGGCAGGACGCTTAGATGAGCGTCTGTAAGCACCTCTCCTACAGCTGTCTACTTGAGTTGTCTCCAAAAGCCCAATGTCAAAATTCGCCTCTCGATGAATTGTTCTTGGATTAAATCTACCTGGTTGGTAGATTTACCACTTATCCTGCTTACTCCATCACTCCTAAGATTTTGTGTGTGTGTGTGTGTGTGTGTGTGTGTGTGTGTGTGTGTGTGTGT